TTCGATTGGTGGATCGCGATATTTTGCTACCTTCATCGATGACAGTTCTCGATATGTGTATGTGTGCTTTATGAAAACGCGTGATGAAATATTTGACAAGTTTAAAGAGTTCGTAACATTTGCAGAAAGGCAAACTGGCAAGAAAATAAAATGCATCAGAAGTGACAATGGCCGTGAATATTTGAGTGGTGCATTTGACAACTTTTTAGTGAGCAACGGTATTAAGAGGCAGCTCACTGTGCCACACACACCGCAACAGAATGGTGTGGCAGAACGCGCAAACAGAACACTTGTAGAGATGGCGCGTAGCATGCTGGTGCATGCTGGTCTCAGTGAAAGATTTTGGGCAGAAGCTATCAATACAGCTGCATATCTGCGGAATCGTTCAGAGACGTCTACACTGAAAGACATGACGCCCATAGAGTCATGGTCTGGTAGAAAGCCAACTGTAAGTCATCTCAGAGTGTTTGGCACGAAGGCTATTGTGCTGAACAAGAAGCGTACTGGTAAATTCCTGCCGAAAGGTGAGGAGCGAGTATTAGTTGGGTACTCCGAAACTGCAAAAGCATATCGCTTGTACAATCCCAGTACAGAAAAGGTAATAGAAGCGCGTGACGTAATTTTTCTCGAAGACTCATTAACAGGTGACAGAGAAAAGGCAAGTTGGTCGATTTGTGATATCGATGTTCCAATGTTGGTGCCGGAACCAGATTCTGTTCCGATGGGCACTGTAGAGCAGAATGAGAGCCACGTTTATGCTGATGAAGATCGGCATGGCAGCAGTACTCCAGAGGTCGAGGAGGCTGCAGAGTGCAGCGCTGCAGAAGGAGAAACTTCAGTCGATAACGAAACAATAGCAAGCCAGAAAAGAGGTCCAGGGCGGCCAAAGAAAATATACACGGGAAGACCTGGACGCCCGCGAAAGCAGTATAATATGGTGAATATTATGACAACCGACGATATAGATGTACCAGAGACAGTCGATGCTGCGTACAAATCAAAATATGCCGATGAATGGAAAATCTCGATGGAGAAGGAAATTGAAAGTTTACGAGCCAACAAGACATGGTCGTTAGTCGAGTTGCCAAATGGTCAGAAGCCAATTGGTTGCAAATGGGTATTTGCAGTGAAGCGCGACAAGTTTGGTAATGTTGTGCGCTTCAAGTCTCGCTTAGTGGCTAAGGGTTGCGCCCAAAAATACGGCGTCAACTATACCGAGACATTCTCCCCTGTGGCTAGATACTCAACAATCAGATTGGTGATTGCTCTAGCAATCGAGCATAACATGTACATGCATCAAATGGATGTATCTTCTGCGTATCTGAATAGTCAGCTGCACGATGTGGTATATATGCGTCAACCAGAGGGTTTTGCTGACCAAGATGCTCCTGAGCGTGTTTTAAGATTGCATAAATCTCTGTACGGCCTTAAGCAGAGTGGCCGTGAGTGGAACGAGCAACTAAATGGTGTGTTGCTCAAGATTGGTTTTGTTCCCTGCATCAGTGAGCCATGTTTGTATACACGACGCAAGGGCAGCAATTTGGACATCATTGTCGTCTATGTTGATGATATGATAGTGGCCAGTAGCAGCAAAGATGATCTTAACGATGTAAAAATGCGTATAGCAGACGAGTTCGATGTGGTAGATGGCGGCCAGCTGAAACATTTCCTAGGGATGGAAATTGAGCGCAATGGTGAAACAGGTGACGTAACCATTGGCCATAAGCAATACATCGAGAGTCTTCTGCGTGAGTATGGTATGCATAACTGCAAGTCTAATGTTATACCCCTAGAAGCTGGATTTCAAACGAAATGTGACGACAATAAATGCGAGCGAGTGAACCAGACCAGCTACCAATCGCTAATAGGCTCACTCATGTACTTAGCCATGGCTACAAGGCCGGACATCTTACATTCTGTGACGAAGCTGGCGCAACAGAACGTAGATCCTCATCGTGAGCACGAGTTGGCCGCAAAAAGAGTATTAAGATACTTAAAAGGCACAACTGGAATGGGCCTGCATTACAAGCGTACTGGGCAGCCCATTCACTGTTTTGTCGATGCGGATTGGGCTGGAGATAGCACGGACCGGAAATCCTTTACTGGCTGGGCAATGTTTGCAGCAGGAGCAGCGTTTTCCTGGCAGTCCAAAAAGCAAAGCGTTGTGGCCCTCAGTAGCACGGAGGCGGAGTATGTTGCTCTTTCAACAGCAGCAAAAGAAGCAGCATATGTCAGACAAGTTATGACCGAAATTGGTTTCGGCAGTGATCATGCAACAAAGATCTTCAGCGACAATCAAAGCGCGCAATGTCTGGCAAAAGACTCTAAGTTCCATGCGCGCAGCAAGCACATAGATATTAAGTACCATCATATAAGAGAAATGTGTAAGAACAATGTAATTGAAATTGAATATGTACCTACAGAGCAAATGATCTCGGATGTTCTTACTAAAAACTTGTGTAGAGTTAAGCATGAAAAATGTATAAACATGATGGGTATGCGTTAAATTCATAGTTATATGTAACTTGAATTGTTTTGTTTACTTTTGAATTTGAATTTTTGTAAAAGTAGACATGCGTTGAGAAGGAGTGTTCGAAGTATGTGTATACTTGTGTGCAACGCATTGTCTCTTTATTCTTTATGTCTTGCATACCCATCTAACTGTTCTTTATTTCTGCCTGCGAGCAGTTCTCTCTCTTATGCGTAATCGATTGTCAGTCACAAATAAACTCTACTCTGAATAAGATGCATTAAGCATAAATAAATATTTTTGCACTGCAGACTCTCTCATAAATATTATAAATGCGATTTGAAGTGCGAAATATACAAATATAATTAAGTTATTAAGAAATATTATCGCATCAACTACGAGTAACTTTTTCGCTATGACCTCTTGAAACTAACTCCAATATCCAACATGAATAAAAAGTAGTGTTTTTGTTTATAAACTTAACATAACTTGACTTGGATTATCAAAAAATGTTGTTGTTTTATTTTACTTCTTTTTTTGTAGTTCTATGAACAGCAGCTTCCTTATTTTCTTTGCTCTAGTAGGGTATTCCTACTGCTCTGCTATTTAAGAAACCAGATCTTGGCGGGCGGGCCGCTGGCTCACACGCATTAAGACTAAGACGACTATGACTGCCAATTTTTTATGACCACACATCTAGATAGTGCGGAATATGCCATAAACTTTTTATTAAGCCATGACATTGCTGCTTTTATATACAAAACATATTTAACAATACAAGTATGAGCTAATATACAAGTAGAAGCGAGTGTGTTTAGTATTTAAAGCGACTGCTTGATACAGTTGCTGTTGTTGTTGCTGATGGAGTTGATGGTGTTGATGTTGGTGGTGGTGTTGGTGTTGGTGTTGGTGGCAGTGGGCCATAAACAACGCTGTTGCAATATTACAGAATTTAAATGTAAATGCTTGGCCCGCCACTTGACGTGAGCTTAACCCAAATACAAGAATCTTTGAGCTACTAAGCCCAGAGAGAGAGAGAGAGAGAGAGAGAGAAAGAGAGAGAGAGAGAGAGAGAGAGAGAAAAAACAGAACCATTAAAAAGCCATTTCTGCGGCTCTGTGGCTGTTGCTGCTGTCTGCTGCTGCCTGTTGTTGCCAACGCCATTGACGACAACGCCTTGGCGAACAACTACTACTACTCCGAAATGCAAATTGCAGCAAGTACGCCCCAAACGCAGCACCTAGATGCCTAGATGAGCACTTTGCATGCAATTTGGTTGCATGCATGACAACGATGGCGATGGCGACGACGACCCTAAACTCAGGCTTGAACTTGCAACACAAACAGCAAAGCAGCAGCAACATTGCAGCAGCAACAGCAACAACACCAGCGGCAATCAGCGTCTCTAAAAGTGCAGCAAGTGAATGAGCTTAAATTGTCCATGGCTGCTAGTGCTTTGGTATTGGGGGGTCGGGACGAAAGCGAAGCGGGAGGGGAGGGCACGAAAGAAAGGGTGGGGGCTGGGGGGCATTAGGCGGTGAGCATTGCTAGACGACCACAAAGTGATGATGACGCTGGCGATCACAATAATGATGATAATGGCTGGCTGCCTCTTATTGCATGTGCCATGTTGCATGAGCGCGCGTGCAAATAACGCCCTCAGTACGTTATTATGGCCGACGTAGTTGTTGTTGTTGCCATCGTCGGCTGTGGAGCATCAAGGCACTGGGGCAGCGAGGCATCAAGTCAACAGCAGCAGCAGCAGCAACAACAAGTCTGACGACAGGAAAACTTTTTCACTATTTTGCTGTTATTTGCGGACCTGCGGGCCGCCAGAGTCAAACAGGGAAAACAACCAAGCTAGCTAGATGGGGTGGATGAAGGGGGAGGGGGGAGGGCGGGGGGGGGGGGACTGAGATAGAGAGCAACCACAGATGCTTAGTTATGCAGCCAGTTCATATGTTGGTACTCGTAGAGTTGTTGCTGTTTGCAGTTGCAGTGGGCGGTTGGCGGTTGGCGATTGGCGGCGAGTTAGAGGGGCACGTACGGTGAGTGGTGAGTGGGAGGAGGAGGTGAGGTGGAGAAAGCGGGAGGTTGTGGTTTTGCACACACGTTGCATAGACAAGCCTCAATTAAGTTGCAATTGCAGTAGTTGTTGTGGCTCGTCGTTGTCGACTTCGTCTTCGCTGTGCGTAGGAATTTCGTTCTCATCCTCCTGCCGCCCTCTTCGTGTCTACCCACGCTCTTTTGCAAATTTGCGCGCGCGCCCGCTGATAAAGTCCAAAGTGATGTACTACCATGTGCTGCTGGTAGCTTGGCAGTCAGCAATAGCAACAACAATAGCAACAAATGCTGCGCGGCTCACTTTAAACTACATATCTCAAGCGCGCACTCACTGTGATATTTTGGCGCCCAATGTGGGGCCATTAAATAAATAAAAGCTTACGGCAGCATTCCATTCTTTTACTTAGCTGCCTTCTGCTATGAAAAGAACTCTTCAAATAGTAGCAAATAGCAACACACAGTGCTGTACGCCAAAAGCTTAAAGTATATTTTAATGCCTTTGGCATAATTTGAAATTAGAACACGAAGAGGAAAAAATAAGCAATTAGAGATAATTAACGATTTTCGCTATCTTCAACTTCAAATAGGGGTGTCAATGAATCGGTATCGATTGCTCTGATTGTCATGGCACGCTCTCTTATTTCCTCCATCTTGATAGCACGTGTGACTTGCCGCTCCATAACATCGAAACGATCCTCCATATCCCTGTGCAAGTCATGGCAATATTGCGTCATCTCATCGATTTCTTCGTGAAACTCGTTCATCTCGTACATGAGCTCCCTCTCGTGTAGGTATTCCTTAAGACGCTCATGCTGACTTTTTAAATTATTAAACATAATTTCTTCGACCTCCGCCGCACCGATCTTAGTATCGGTTAGGTACTTGTAGCGTTCAGTGCACACGTCCTTCTCCTTCTCCACCAATTTGGACCACATCAAGTACTCCTTGGAAAGTTTCGCCATCCGGCGTAGTTGCTGGTTGTTCAAACAGAGCAGTGCCTGAAGTTTGCGCACCAGGCACCGAATCAGCTTGTAGCGACATACCATCTCATCTATGTAGCACTGTAAGGTGTGGTGATCATGCTCCAAGTCGCGTATTTCCATTTGCTCTTCACAACTCAGCGGTGGCAGCTGTGGCTCTGGGCATACGATATCGGACTGCTCCTCTAGGTCTTCGCTTTTCTTGTGTCTACATGGATTTTCGCTGCGCATAAGTTCGGCTTTGTAGAGCTCACACTCCTCTTGTTTTTTGCGCTCCTTGATGGCCATCTGCATGAGCCCTATGCGCCGCAATAGGCAGTCTAGATCGTTCAGCAATTGAAGCTGGTGTGCTCCATCACTTGTCGCATCCTCAGTTGTGAATGTGGCCTCCATCTCCTCCTCCTCTTCGCCCGTGAAGCTGACCTCCTCTTCGAAGTCGAAGATCTCGATTTTGCGACATCGCAACGTACGGGGGAACAGTTCGATGCGATCCAACGATAGTTTACCACAGTCTGGAAGCTTGTCTACGACCTCTTGCGTAGGATCGTGATACGGAACGAAGACCCTGGTGGTCGTAGCTTCAGGTGGTTGTACATACTCATAAGTCGTTGACTTCATGATACTGGCCAAGGGCTTGGTGACCGAGCCGCTATCATTTTTGCTCACTAAAATTTGTAAGGACTTATTGCTATCTTCCATATTATTGTCCTTCTTCTTCCTGGCTTACTGAAATTTCTGTGAGTTTATACTGTTTTGAAGAGAGTGTGAATGTTTCGAAAACTTTTTCAAAGTTCAACAATGAACACGATATTATAAACTGTTCCGAATCTATGTATATATAGTATAGTACTATAGAATACAGATTTCACATTCAAGCGACACCAACTCAAACTTATTGAAGCCTGGTTTCTCCGTTGGAAAATAAAAGTAAATGCACTAAAATACCTTTAAAATAACATTTATTTTAAGAAATGGCGATTGCTCAAAAGTTTTATTTAACGGCTCAGCAATTCCGCAAAGCAACTCTGTGATGTATCTTGGCTTGCTGATCGCAGATTTACATGGAAAATCCATATAAAGGCAATATTCTGGCATTCTGCAGCGCTATCAATCAAAAACATTGAGGTCCATAGTTAATGCCCCTTTTTTTGTTTCAAGATCTACGAATTCCTTATGTGAAAGAAGAAATAACTAAATTTATTAAAAAATAAATTGAAAGACTAAACAACCATGAAAATAACCTGGCCTTAAATCTAGGAGATAATAGTAAGTAGTGAGAAGACTTAAAAGAATATTCCTCAACCTAACATAAAAAATAAGTAAAAATAAGAAAATATCTATGAATTCCTTATGTGAAAGAAAAAAATATCAAATTTATTAAAAACAAGTAAAAAAGCTAAAGCTAAAGAAATAACTAAATTTATTAAAAAATAAATTGAAAGACTAAACAACCATGAAAATAACCTGGCCTTAAATCTAGGAGATAATAGTAAGTAGTGAGAAGACTTAAAAGAATATTCCTCAACCTAACATAAAAAATAAGTAAAAATAAGAAAATATCTATGAATTCCTTATGTGAAAGAAAAAAATATCAAATTTATTAAAAACAAGTAAAAAAGCTAAAGCTAAAGAAATAACTAAATTTATTAAAAAATAAATTGAAAGACTAAACAACCATGAAAATAACCTGGCCTTAAATCTAGGAGATAATAGTAAGTAGTGAGAAGACTTAAAAGAATATTCCTCAACCTAACATAAAAAATAAGTAAAAATAAGAAAATATCTATGAATTCCTTATGTGAAAGAAAAAAATATCAAATTTATTAAAAACAAGTAAAAAAGCTAAAGCTAAAGAAATAACTAAATTTATTAAAAAATAAATTGAAAGACTAAACAACCATGAAAATAACCTGGCCTTAAATCTAGGAGATAATAGTAAGTAGTGAGAAGACTTAAAAGAATATTCCTCAACCTAACATAAAAAATAAGTAAAAATAAGAAAATATCTATGAATTCCTTATGTGAAAGAAAAAAATATCAAATTTATTAAAAACAAGTAAAAAAGCTAAAGCTAAAGAAATAACTAAATTTATTAAAAAATAAATTGAAAGACTAAACAACCATGAAAATAACCTGGCCTTAAATCTAGGAGATAATAGTAAGTAATGAGAAGACTTACAAGAATATTCCTCAACCTAACATAAAAAATAAGTAAAAATAAGAAAATATCTATGAATTCCTTATGTGAAAGAAAAAAATATCAAATTTATTAAAAACAAGTAAAAAAGCTAAAGCTAAAGAAATAACTAAATTTATTAAAAAATAAATTGAAAGACTAAACAACCATGAAAATAACCTGGCCTTAAATGTAAGAGATAATAGTAAGTAGTGAGAAGACTTAAAAGAATATTCCTCAACCTAACATAAAAAATAAGTAAAAATAAGAAAGCATCTATGAATTCCTTATGTGAAAGAAAAAAAAATCAAATTTATTAAAAACAAGTAAAAAAGCTAAAGCTAAAGAAATAACTAAATTTATTAAAAAATAAATTGAAAGACTAAACAACCATGAAAATAACCTGGCCTTAAATGTAAGAGATAATAGTAAGTAGTGAGAAGACTTAAAAGAATATTCCTCAACCTAACATAACAAATAAGTAAAAATAAGAAAACATCTATGAATTCCTTATGTGAAAGAAGAAATAACTAAATTTATTAAAAAATAAATTGAAAGACTAAACAACCATGAAAATAACCTGGCCTTAAATCTAGGAGATAATAGTAAGTAGTGAGAAGACTTAAAAGAATATTCCTCAACCTAACATAAAAAATAAGTACAATATAATTGGAGGTTTCATTGGAAACTTTGAACTTTAAATATAGCTAATTAAATGAACTTATCATCTTAAGACAGAGTGTAAAAAAAAAGCATTCATCCCATATTTGGAAGCAACGCTTTAATAGCATCAGCAAATACTTCTGATTTTCATCTAAATCTTGCAGCTACTTATAAAAATCAGTCTCTTGCCAGCCGCTCCTGGGCTTAAGGCTGATAAGACGATTTATGCCTTCCAAGCTACACTGGCGGCATAATTGCGCGCACCCACATTGCCTGTTGCTGTCGCTGTCGCCGTCAATGCCGTCCCTGTCGCCTCTGCCCCCCACTCTCTGGCAAGACGACGACTTGGACGATGATGATGATGACGACAGGCAATGCTGTGGGCTCAGTTGCCACCCGCTTCTGCTTCTGCTTTGGCTTTGGCTTTGGCTCTGACTTTGACTTTGGCATGTGGCTGGCAACTTTTTTCGACTCCACTCGTCTCGTGTTTGCCCGCAAGTTGTAATTTTCTGCGAAAACGTCAGCCGCATAATTGCTTTCTGCCTCAGCCATCGCTGCTCTGCCATCTCTGATAGATTCCAAAGCTGCAGACGCTTCCATCGCACAGTGATTCCTTTTCACAAATTTAAAACAATCGAAATAGTAGCGATATGGAGACCTCATCTCACTAAACCCATATTGTAATCTATTAAAGCCAATTATCGCACACTGATTCCTATTTTCAAACTTAAAACAATCGAAATAGGAGCCATATGGAGACCTTATCTCACTCAACCCATATTGCAATCTATTAACACCAAATATGCTCTTTTAAAGGTGGAATACAATTGTGATTCATGGCTAAACTTGTTTCTTGAAAGTCGCATTTGTGGTGCGGTGGAAAATGCAAATTTACCTCAGTATGGTATGATGTTGAAATCGTGAATTCCAAAATTGTTTATAAGAGTCCCAGAATCTTGAAAAAGAGTCAAATGAATTATTAAACAGTTAAAAGGATTGATGTACATTAAATCAGGTCTCCCTAAAAAAACATTTAAACTACATTGCGATTCACAGCCGAATGGGATTTAGTTTAAATATAGTAAGTTAATTTCCCTGCACCTTTGAATCGATAATTGATTTCGATTGTTGCTGCCAATGCTCCACTGTGCATTCGTTGTTCCTCGCCTGTTGCTGGCGGATCTCTGTGCATAATTTGAATTGGGCTCAGTTGAATTTCTAGCCAGTGGAGATGCATTTGCTAATTGCTTTTTAGATTTGGGCCAGGGCTTACTCAGGCTTACACGTCGCTGTCATCCCTGGGCATACTCTGAACGATTCGTGCCTCCGTTTGTTTGACAGGCTTTTAGGCGGCTGGCTAATGGCGGCCGCGCTTCTTCTTTATTCAAAACTGTCACATGTGGAATTTCGCAAGTGTTTGGGAAGCGCTAAAAATCGATGCTCTCGATTGAGGTCAGCGGTAGCAGATGAACCCTTCCACGTATTTCCGCATTGCCACCAAACAAAGCAAAAGAAAATACACTCGCAGTATGCTGAGATGGGAGCCGCTGAAGAAAAAACCAAATGAGGAGATGAAGAAAGAACTGTACCGCTAAATCACCTAATCATATCAAGCAATGCTACAGCCCAGAGTTCACACAATGGCCAACTCTGACCACTGATGCCACACACACGCTGCCCCGACTAGAAGACTAGAAGATGAAGATGACTTTTTGAGCCAAGCAGGAAGTTCAAGTGAGAAAATCCACACTACATGAAGTTCAAATCGAATGTGGCAAGTGCATGAAGCATAAGAAGAAAAGGTAAAGCAACAGAAAAAGCAAAAATAAATACAAAAAGAAAATACAAAATACTCGTATACTCGTACTTGTATATAGTAAAAAGGCAATCTGAATCGTGGTTTTTAGCATTTTAGTTGGTTGAACCTAGTAGCTACAGCTGCCGATTCGCCCTGCCAAACTGTCCATAGACTCGTAGGTTTACATGTGTAACTACAGTGTACGCAAGGGCGTAGGCAGCTTTTACCAAAGGGGGGAGGCAAAAAAATTGAAATTTTGATTAAATAATGCACGATGCATTTAAAAAATAATTTATGCATACGATCAATGAAAAATTTTTTGTAGGGGGGGGGGGGGGCCAACATCACCCCCCCTGCCTTCGTCCTTGACTGTACGACACACGTATGTAACCAAAATTTATTTATTTATTTTATTTATATGTATGTTAACAAACAGTGACAGTTGAAATAGGAAAGCAATATATAAAAATTATAAAAACCCATAAAAGAATGGAGAGCCTAGGAGAAATCTAATAAAATTACAAAAATATCTAAGAAACGCCTCCGCTCCGGTGGGGGAATATTATTTGCATTTCTGCCCCGTATCACAGCCAAGTGTGGCCAGAGGCATCAATAGATCTACCAATATAAAAAGAAAAAACTTAACGGAGAGAAGAAGCTTAGAAATAATTATAGGCTAATTAAAAAGAGGACAGGGGAAAAAAATGGAATCTCAGACCAGGTGGGGGAAGCTTTATAAGCCAGTCCGGCACGCTATACTTGTACCCCGTCTGACAGCCGTTCTTGGTCAGAGATTCCGGAGATGTCTGAAAAGAGAGGCTATTATGAAAGGAAGAGAGAGAGTTCGGTTGAAAGCAGTTGAAAATGCATTAAGCATAAAACCCGAAAAGGATTGTGTAATGCATAATCAGTTATACAAGTACATATGTATGTCAAGGAAAAGGGGAAGATAGTTACTTGTTGCTCTGGAAGGAACTGAGAAATTAAGACGATCTAATAGAAAGGAGAATCGACACTACCGACCATCAGTTTGTGGACAATTACTGCTCCAAGGACAGTCCTCCGATTAGCCAATGAAGGAAGATTTATGAG